AATATACTTACTTAAAATGTACATAAAATAAGAACGAGTATATAAGCTAGTTTTCTATGTAATCCAGATAGATTTTTGAACAAAAATAGATTTTATTGACTAATTTTATCATTTTTACTGCGCTGAATTCAAAAAAGTTAGGTGCCCTTTTTTTCCCAAAGTCATCAGCCGCCATTTTGAATTTCAAGATGGCTGACGCACCACATAAAACATGGTCATGATTGGTGTCAATGGAAAACAGTGGCGGATCCAGGGGGGTTCAAGGGGTTCAGACGAACTCCCCTCTGTGAAGAAACGTAACAAAATACTATTGGGTCCTGGCTTACAAAACGCATTACCAACCGTTTCTCGCGCATCGTGCAGGACGGTCCCGCTTCAAAGTGATTTTGGATGTAACACGCATTTGGCAGAAACACATGCGTGATCTTAAATTTGTCACGCATTTAGTCCACGCATGACGACGAATAATCACGAATTCAGGGAAAATATATTTAAAATTAGAAGAAATTAGTTTTATTAAATCACAATCATGCAGTAACTTAAGTCATTAGAGAGCTTTCGTTATCGCGTTTGAGATTCAATTCACCAAAAGCTTTGGCGGCGCGTGTGGTCTTGCACGTTCATTGTCACAATGTTAATTATCCATGAAGCTATCCAAAAATAAAAACAAATTGAATTAAATATTTTGATAAATAATTTTCTCATTATAAATAAAGACAACGAAATTCCTAAAAAATATATATATATTAACTACCAAAAATGTGTATAAGAGTAATGTAGGCCTATTTAATCTTGAATGTTCTAATGTTTCTTAATTCATTTTTAAAAAAATATTTTAAATACAAAAGAATTTGTTTCTGTATTAGTTTCAACAAAGAAGTTTCTGTAATATGGGAGAATTTTTTGTTTTTTTGTTTTTTTTGTTTTGTTTTGTTCTTGTTTTCAAAATGTCTATCTACTTTTAAATTTTGATTTTTTTTTTTAATTGTGTATAGAAGATGAATGTGCATGTTTTCTTTGTACGCAAGATTGTCTTTGAGTCGGGTTAACTCACTGAAATCTAAAAAAAAAAGAATCTGCTATCAAAAAACTCCAAATATTAAGTTAGTTCTGGCTATATCTGCAAAAGCCTGAGAAGATTTTTAAATTTAGTAGACTCAAAATCGAGGTGGTTTGAGGCTTTACTTTACAGAATATAGCACTATGACCGTAGCTACTTGCCACCTGCTAATTTTCCCCACTGATTTTTCTACCTGGAGAGTTATTCCCGGTCCAGGATATCCCCCCCCCCCCCATTTTTTTGATGCATTGTTCCTCCTAGTTTTCCTATTGATTTTTTTTCCATCAGGTTATTTTTATTATACTTTATGAGAACATATTTTTTTTTTGTGTTTTCTCTATATCAATTAATTATTATCTAGTCATTGTAAGGTTACACTAAAAAGGTGTGCCGATGATACAAAAGCATTATTCAATCAATTGACTGATTGACTATTGATGCATTCACAATACCGTATTGATGAAGCCTAAATACACATTGTAGAAACGTTTTGAAAGTTTAAATCCGGTTTTACATGAGAAATACAGGAAAGAAAACAGGATATCTTTATAACATGTTTCCTTTTTTGGAATTTCGATATCACACCTTTTTCCTAGTCGTTCTATATATCCATATTTCATCCACAAAAAACACTCTATTATTTCTTAATATTAATACTCTTAATTTTTTTTAATTTCTTAATTTTAATACTCATTAATGTTGGAATATAGAATACATGCCAAGTTGGAGATAGCTAGAGGCTTGAGATTTAACAGGAAATAACCCAATTGACGCGAGTCGAGGGCCCGTCCAAGGGCCCCGAAAAATTTTGGGCTTAGATGCTCTCTGGGTACTCTGAATATCTCTAGTGCTGAAATTAAACCTT